AATGATGTTCCGGGAATTGGGTTGAGAAGGTGGCCTGAAGATCGATGGGAGCAGCTAAATCATTTGCACCTCGCGAGTGACATTGTTATTATTGCCAGTAGCCCTTACGAAATAAACGAGATGCTGTAGAAGCCAGCCGGTTTTTGCAATTTTTTTTTTTGCACAGTTTCACTCGCAAGAATAGATCCTGCACGCAAGCCTTAAATGCAGATTTGAATCGTACGTGTAAATTTGTCTCCCATTTTCCTGAAATCAAATCCTGAAGCAAGTTTAATCTAGAAAGGCGATATGGGAGTTTTAATCATTGCTAGACAAAATTTTCGAAATTTCAGCTTTCTAGCTCGCATAGTCATAGTGCTGAAAATTGACAAGTACGTTACGCCATACACACAAATACACGCACATACACATACGCATAGGTACATATACACACATACATGCATACATGAATGCATGTGCACACATATATGCTTATTACCTAAGACCGTTTAGACTCCTTAAGAAACTTAGTTCTTCAGATCTATAGCTTTGTATGCCGACTGATTTGTTCCAGTTTCCTCCCGAAACTGTTAGCGTGAGTTTTAAATCATTTATCTTTGGCTAGCCAGAAAATTGCCATAATGAACAAGTCTATTGGTGAAGAACTTGCGCAGTAAGCTGAACTTTTCGCGGTGTTCATTCTTTTTCTATTCAAAGTTGCCAAAGTAAACACTTCTGGGCTACTCAAAGTTACGGCGGTGTAAATTTTTGCTTACTCAAGGCTATCGCGATGTACATGCTTGGTCTGCTTAGACCGGAAATGCCGCGGTCTAAGTTCTCGGTCTATTCAGGATTGTCACAGTGCTCATATCTTCGAACTGCTCAGAGTTGCCATGATGTGCATCTGACTGTTCCGCCCTTTCCGGGGTTTGTGTCTTGGCCACAGGAATGCAGAGCTAGTCTGGTGTATTGAACTAGGCCTGATCTGCTTCCAATAAAATTCGGGAAAATTATATTTTTCAATTGGATTTTCTTCTAATCGCATTCATTTTCCGAGCAGGAATGTGTTTACAGCATTCTTTAGCGGATTACTGTAGCGAGGGAGCGGCCGCTGCCTCTGTGTAAGAGAATTTAACCAATCAGCTTCATGTGCGAGCTGTGCGCTTCTTTCCTGTCAAACAATCGTATTAATAACGGTCAACAAGAAATACAGCAACAAATGGCTGAGGTTTAGGCAAGAGTAGCAACAAAAGAAGCGTGGGCGAGAGTTTTGAGGGTAAAGAAAGTAATGGCGGCGGAGGTAGAATATGAAGTACGGAGATATGTACAGTTCTGACGTCCAAGTGAAGATTTTGATAACTAGTTAGGAGAAAGTAAGCAATCATTCGGGCGACCTCGAAGAGGTCACTGAACAGGCGGTGAGTATTAAGTGAAGGCATCTAGCTGAGAATCGAAGGTCCGGCATAGTTGCGCTCGACCTGTGCAAGCATCCCAGTAAAATCCCTAACAAGGGATCCCACACTAATAACCCGAGCGATTTTGGTCCCAGTGATAAGGGGCTGTTATCTTGTAAAAGAAGCTGTCACATCAGCCTGGATGAGCGAAAATTAGTGAATTAAAGTACAACTGTATAACAAAAATAGCCAGCAAGTCTCGCTACATTTTTGCATTGAAACCAGTCTTAGCTTAAAGAAAAAGCATCAGTCCGTAACATTTTGGCCATCAATCTTTAACTGCCAGTTGAAGCGGAATGTTACGGCCAGCATCATCGAACAGACAAAGCGTGTATCTTCCCATTAGTTTTGGACACAAAATTTCAAATTTCAATAAATTTGAGTATTTACAATTATTCCCGAAGAATGAGTGGCATGCTTCTTCGGATTACACAAATAATGAGACTTCCTGTCAGATGAGCGGCACGTGAAATGTCAGTAAGTCCTTGCGAGAAAGTGAAATCCGATAGGCAAGGCATGTTGCCCGTTTTACCGACAGCGGGTGGAGACCGCACATTAATTAGTGGCAGCCGTGAGAAAGTAAACGGCCGCTCGTGCACTGTATAGGCAGTGGGAGCTAACTGGAGGTTCATAAAGTCCAGGGTCGGAAAAGGTGGCGTAACCTTGTTCAGTGCATAACAGCATTGCAGCAACTGTCATAAAA